CAATAGAGGATCCAGAGGTAGAGCTACCCGCTAAAACATAAAATCTCTATGATGGTCGGGGCACCCAGACAGCCATCGAAGACAAATGGGTCCTGAGTATAATCAAAGACGGCTACAAACTAGAATTCAAATAATTCCCAAGAAGTTTCATATTTCATCGATCAAAGGTGTCAGCAGGCATAAAACGGAAGACAGTGGAGAACTGCCTACAGCAGTTGATTGCACAAGCTGTTATCAAACAAGTCCCTCAAAACAAGGAATGCAGGGGATTGTATTTGAATATATTTTTGGCTCCCAAGCAGAATGGAAAATGGAGACTTATTTTGGACCTAAAAAGAATCAATATATATCTCAAAAACATGTCTTCAAAGATGGAGTCCATAGTCTCCATAAAACAGGCGACTGTCATGGCTCCTGGCTCGCCGCGAGGTGCGGTCTCGTCCGACCAGCACAACCACACCGTCAAAGTGAGCTTACCTGCTCAGCAGTGAGTCGGGAACCGCTCCGCTGGCTTCTCCTGGCTGCCTGCCCTAAAGAAAAATGGCGCCGACCATGCGGTCTCGCCCATTTATAGTCCCCCAGGCTCATATGAACATGCGAGTGAAGTCACGACATCGACGTACATGCACGTTCTGGGGTCAGAGGTCACCCTCTGACCAATCACAGTCAAAGGAGGGATATTTAAATCCCTGAAGCTACCCAGTTCATTGCCCTGTCGTGGTTTCCTGTCCTGGTTCCCGAGAGTGTGTTTTCTGTTTCTATTATTGATATTCCTGGTATTTTGACCTTGGCTATTCTGGACTACTCTGATTTCTGGTTTCCCTGACTTGGCTTGTTTAACGGTATTGTGTATTTCTGGCTTGTTGATCTCGGCTATCCCTTGACCATTCTCTGTCTTTAATGTATTAGTTTGGCCATTCTAAGGACCAGTTTACGTTCTATCCTTTCTGTTCTGTCTATGTAGATGTTACATAGTTCTGCGTGGGGGTGTTTGTGTGAGTGCTGGATGATGGGTGTTTGTGTGAGTGCTGGATGATGGGTGTTTGTGTGAGTGCTGGATGATGGGTGTTTGTGTGAGTGCTGGATGATGGGTGTTTGTGTGAGTGCTGGATGATGGGTGTTTGTGTGAGTGCTGGATGATGTGTGTGGGGGGGGGGAGGATTTTTTTTAACTTTATATTTTTTTTTATTTTATTCCCCCCTCCCTGCTTCTTACCTTGTCAGGGAGGGGGGAGATCGCCTGGTGGTCCGGTGGTATGCTGGAGGGGCCATCACACGCAGTGTTCCCTCTCCAGCTCTAACTCTCGCGAGACTCGCCTGTGCGGAGCGTTGCCATGGTAACAGCCGCGGGTCTCGCGAGAGTTATAGCTGGAGAATGAACACAGCATGTGACGGCCCCTCAGTGCAGGGACCAGGGCCGGTCCTGCAGGACAGGTAATGGGAACGGCGTTCCTGCTGTGGAAAAAGTGCGGGAACGCCGTTCCCATGCGTTCCTGCAGGACTCGAGCCCTGGTTTTACCAACCCCGGCCCTGATAAGCACCAGGATTCCTAAGTGTGAGTTTGGTATCCTCCATTTGGGAATTACTATAGTTAATAAAGTGTGAATTTGTCGACAATTTAGAGTGAAATTAAAATGAACTTAAAACTGGATGCAAACACGGCTAAATTAGAAAAAAATTTGCAAGTCATCTATGTGTTTAGGCGAAAACAGTCAGGCTGCGAAAATTGCTGGGTTGGGAAATGTTTCCAAATCAATTATTTCAGAATAAAATCTGCAATTTGATTTTAAACTCACTACAATTGACACTTTAGTAAATAACTCTGTGTCTAAATTAAAATCTAGATTGCAAAAACAAGACGTCAGATGCTATTCTAAATTCCACTTAATGTCACAATCCATTAAACTGCGCAGATATTAAAATCTTATCATGATTTATACATGGTATGTTTTGCAGAAGGGGTATAGTTTCTTTACTAAAATTTAAATTGCAAACAAATAGTATTCTGTCTTAATGTCATGTACCGTTTATTAAATTCTAGTTGATCTCTATTCATTCGAGGTGACAATGACTAATCAGCATTCACTGTGTTTGTATTAAGATCCTGCATCCAGTATAGCCCCATGTGAGCTCCCACTCTGTCTGTAATTCTGTTTGTCAAAAAGCAGGAACAGATGTAAATGTATTAGGTTTCAAATCAGCACAAACTATCTGTTCTCTAATTACATTGCCTCGTTCAAATGACATTTTAGGTAAATTCTGAAATTCCAGGATGAACAGATAACATTCATTAATGATAATCAATGCTTCCTAAAAATATGACTAAACATATCACATCAGTCTAATAGTGACTTAGTAATATTGGTCTTTTATTTGTGTCCCAATTCCTATCCAGGGTAGATGTTAGAATTTCCTATCTATTAAGATTTTTCTTGTAAGTTATTGATTATTTTACTCTGGTCTAAATCTATATTTTTGTTTGTCATTTATAATACATTTTCCATTCATATTGACTTCTTGGAAAATATTTGAAAATATTTTTTAGGAGAAACATTTTGAAACAAGAACACATTCCTCATACCAGTTTTTATTTTATTATTACTATTTTTTTTTTTTTTTTACAAATAAATCTATCAAATAAGCATTGGCTTTCAGTTGTGGTGTCTAAGAAATGAATCTGTCTAACACTATAATGATGACTATAATTATAGTGTAGATACATTTAAGAAGGGATTCTGAAACTCCCCACAACATCAAGATGTCAGGTGACTTTGCACTAGTCTAATTCTATTTTTTGTGTGATTTATTATACATTTCATATTTGTATTGACTTCTTTAAGAAACAATTTTAATCATGAGAAATAAATAAATCTGTAAAATAAGCATTGGTTTTTCAGTTGAGGTGTCAAAGAAATTAATATGCTTATCATTATAATGAAAACTATATGTAAGATACATCTAAGAAGGGTTTTCCACTGAGACTTCTCAGAACACCAAGATGCCATCAATCACTGAGCATCCATTGGTAGATGTTTTCAGAAATTGTCAATAATGGATCATGAGCTGTGGAAGAATTGTCTATTGGTGGCCACAGCTGCATTTGAAAAACCCCTATGGTGGTGTTTGGAGATGGGTGAAAGAGTCCTGAGTCTTATCTATAAACCAAGAAAGAACTGTACCTAGTTTATGTAGGGAAAAGGATGTGAAAGCAAAAAAAATAGATACTTTTTGAGAATGGACTGCGAAAGGTAAGATAAGAACGTCTAAAGACCAGTGCCTGCCTACACCAAAGATATGGAGAAAATAAGTTGACAGTCCACCGTGGGAAAAACATCAGATACCTGGATCCCATTGCCTTACATCACTATCATGGACCTTCCACTGCGTACCTGTCTATCTGTCTTGCCCTGGATGTTAGGATTTACCATGAACCTATTAGTTATCATACCTATATCCAACTTTAAGTTCTGTGATGGAAACATCATTGACCATATATATTGTGACCTTTTCCCTCGCCAAAAACATTCATGTTCAGACACATCTCTGGTGGAATTTAAAGTCTTTTTTATTTTCTACTCCTTTATTTATTTGTCCTTGTGGTTTTATCACAGTGACTTATGTTCATATCTTCCTTATAATGCTTAGGATCCCTTCTACAACTGGAAGACAGAAAGTCTTTTCTACCTGCAGTTCCCACCTTCTTGTGGTTGGTGCATTCTATGGGACATTAATAAGAAAGTATATGATACCATCCATAGCACATTTATTGCTTTTGAATAAGATTACATCATTGCTGCATACTATGTTTAACCCTTTAGTATACAGTCTAAGAAACCAAGACATCAGGTTAGCACTAAGAAAGATTTCTAAACATTAGAGAGACTTTTTTATACATACACATTATCATCTCAGAAAATGTCTCTAAATCGTTCTCTGACAACCTTCACTGATTTGCTCTTATTCACTGAAATAAATAAAAGAATAAGTGAAAATAAATGTGTTTACCTTCAATAAAATTATATTAAAAATACATTTCTATTTTTATATAATGATATTATTTAGACCAAGTTGTTGTGTTGGGCTTGGAGTGTAAGTTTAACTTTTAAGATTGTAATAACTTTTATTTTCTATATGATGAAATAACTTTACGCTAAACTCCAGCTCTATAGGGAGCTTGCACTAAACTCCCCTGGGATAAACAGCATAAAATATAAAACAAAATCACAGAAGTTTTTAGCATTATTTCAAATATTTGACTTTGATGGAATTCTAGGGTTAAGCAGGGTCTTATTTCTGATAATTTTAAGTTCTAAAAAATAATCGAAACCTGTTACTCTTTTTTCCATACATTTAACCATATTTTTAAGCAATCTTTTGGTAAGTAATTTTACTTATTTTTTTTAGAAAGTGTCCTTGATGAAAATGCTGAGATTTCTCTATTTTTAAGAATGCCTAAGGAAAAATAATAAAATGTTGAGTTTAACAAAATATCTTACACAATAAGAACCCCGGATTGTTATGTCAGTTACAACAGGATCCCCCTAAAAATACTGATTTGAAAGAGCTTTTACCTCTCAGTAAAAGGATTGGGGTGCGGCAACACCAAACTCCACATGTGATTGAAAGAATACATTGTCTTTCTGACACTTAGGGAGAAATAGGGCTAGGGAGACATTAGTTAAGGATACTCACGGTTATGAGTTTTGAGTAAGAGCATCTTGGGGTTAGGGGGTACTTTAGATTAACTGCTCTATAATAATCGTACAAATGATCTTTTCTTATTTTAAAGGCCTGAGATACAAAGACTGGTGCTACAGCATTTCCCTTTCTACGGTTAGCCAGAAGAAGGTGGTATAAACATATTTTAGTGTTTTTCTTTCTTCTATTATTAAATAAAAACTAACTCCCAAACATGCAATACAGCCATTCCCCCACAGAAACACTACACCCAATGTTCTCTCTACACTGACCACTACACCCCTAATTCCCCCCCACAAATACTATACACCGATCATTCCCCCCACAGACACAATACACCTTCTATCTCCCCCACAGGCTCAGTTCACCCCTATCTCCCCCTCACAGAATACACCTTGCACCTCTTCTCTTCTCCACCGACACCTTGCACCCCCAATCTCCCAAATAGATACCTTGCACCCGTTATCTTTCCCACAGACACTTCACATCTACTATATCTCCTTCACAGGAACTCAAAAATATTACGGCCTCTATCTCCCCACAGATAAATACCTATATCCAACTTTAAGTTCTGTGATGGAAACATCATTGACCATATATATTGTGACCTTTTCCCTCGCCAAAAACATTCATGACCATATATCTCCTTCACAGGAACATTACACTCCCTAACTCCCCCATAGTCATATTACAGTCCCTCTCTCCCTCACAGACACATTACATCTCCTACATCTCCTACCTCCTCCACAGACATTCTATTTCCCCCCACAGACACATTGTAACCACCATATTTCCCCAACAGACTCATTACACATTCTATCTCTCCCACAGACACTCTACACCTCCTGTCTCCTCCACAGACACTTTACACCCTCTATCTCCCTCAGAGGAACCTTGCATTACACCCCTTATCTCCCCCACAGACATCTTGACCACTATCTCCCCCACAGACACAATACACTCCCTATCTTTTCCCAGACACTCTACACCCCGTATCTCCTCTACAGACACATTTCACGACCATCTCCACCACAGACCTCTTGTACCCCATATCTTCCCCACAGACACATTAAGCACCCTATCTCTTCCACAGTCACATTACACTCCAATCCTTTACAGACCCACTCCACCGCCTATCCCACCCACACACAGACACATTACAGCCCCTATTCCGCAACACTTACTACAGCTCCAGGCAAAGACACACAAGTACATAAGCAGCCTCTCTCCACATGCAACCTCCAAAACAAACCCCACAAAAACAGTTTCACCACACACAACATATTAGATGATCTACCCCACACACGCAACACCACAAGCAGCCTACCCCCACAAACAAAACCTCACAAGCTATAAGAAGCCATATAGAAGAGCAGTAGTTTTCATTTAGATTTTCTTGCACTGAGTTAAACCAATTTATTACAATTTCCCTATGTGAGAGCACCAACTGACGCATACTTTAGGGGCTTGCATGTCTTTGTTGATGACACAACATGACCCATCTCAGATCCCATACCTCCTATTAAGCTGCTCTGCCTTTTAAATGCTCAGGTTACATTTTAGTTCCAGCTGGATCCGAGATACAGCAGTACCTTGAAACTATTTTAAATGATTTTAGTGATTTTAAAATCACTTTGAATGCTCAACGAGTTGTTTTAAGTGCCACTAGCACTGGCTAGAGAAGTAGATACAGCAGCAATCTAAACCTAGTCTCACTCTAGAATCAATGATCTTGGCTATCTCCCACTAGTTCCACTTTTGATGCACTTCTTCGCCCTGTGACTCCCCCTCCTTCCACCACCTTGTCCGCCACAAACTTTGCATCTCATTTCACTGAGAAGATCTCTACAATCAGGAAAGAGATCTCTAATCTTTCTCCAACCAGTATCAATACATCACCCAACCCCACTCCCCCTGCCATCCTAAGCTCATTTGCACCTGCTACAGCACAAGAGGTTTCTGCTCTGCTCCTGTCCTCCCGCCCCACCACCTGCTCCCTCGATCCTATTCCCTCGCATCTCATCCGCACTTTGTCTCCCTCTCTTGCTCTTCCTCTCGCTAACATTTTCAATCTCTCCCTTTCCTCTGGCACATTTCCCTCTGCCTTCAAACATGCAACCGTAACCCCAATTCTGAAAAAGCCCAACCTTGATCCCAACTCCCCATCCAACTACCGCCCTATCTCGCTACTGCCATTTGCCTCCAAGATCCTCGAGAGAGTTGTCTACGCCAGATTGACAGACTTTCTCGAATCCAACTCTCTGCTTGACTCCCTTCAGTCTGGATTCCGCGCTGGTCACTCTGTCGAAACTGCTGTGACCAAAGTTCCAACGATTTAATTGCTGCTAAATCTCGCGGCCAATACTCTATCCTAATCCTCCTTGATCTTTCTGCCGCCTTTGACACTGTTGATCATCAACAGCTTCTTCACATTCTCCGTAACTTTGGTCTATGGGATACTGCTCTCTCCTGGTGCTCCTCCTACCTCTCCCAGCGCTCTTTCAGTGTTTCTTTCTCTGGCTCTGCCTCTTGTCCCCAACTCCTCCCTGTCGGCATCCCCCAAGGTTCTATCCTTGGCCCCCTACTGTTCTCTATCTATACTGCCTCCCATGGTAAACTCTTCAGCTCCTTTGGCGTCCAATACCATTTATATGCAGATGACACGCAAATCTACTTGTCCTCCCCTGATCTCTCTCCACCCACCTTGACTCGTGTTTGTGACTGCCTCTCTGCTATTTCCAACTGGATGGCTGCTCACTTCCTTAAACTCAACCTGTCCAAAACAGAACTTCTAGTTTTTCCTCCCTCAAGTGCTGCTACACCTTTGTCTGTCTCCATCCAAGTCAACGGCGCTACTATCACCTCTACCTCCCAGGCTCGCTGCCTAGGGGTTCTTTTTGATTCTGATCTCTCTTTTACTCCCTATGTTCAATCGATAGCCAAATCCTGTCGCTTCCAACTCAAGAACATAGCGCGCATCCACCCATATCTAACGCCGGACGCGGCTAAGGTACTGGTTCATGCTGTTGTTCTCTCTCGCCTTGAATATTGTAATCCCCTTCTCACCGGTCTTACATGTTCCCAGCTTGCAACGCTGCAATCTATAATGAATGCGGCTGCAAGGCTTATTTTCCTGTCCGGTCGCACCTCCCACGCCTCCACGCTCAGTCAGTCCCTGCATTGGCTTCCAGTTAGATATAGGGCCCAATTCAAAATTCTGGCGCTTGCTTACAAATCCCTACATAATGCTGCTCCAACATACCTATCCTCCCTCATACACAAGTATGTCCCGTCGAGACCCCTGCGCTCAGCCCAAGACCTACGCCTATCCTCTGCCCGGATCCCTACCTCTGATGCTCGCCTTCAAGACTTCTCCAGGGCTGCACCTATTCTGTGGAACTCCCTTCCCTCCTCAATCAGACTTTCACCCAGCCTCCACTCCTTCAAAAAATCTTTGAAAACTCACTTCTTCATTAAAGCGTATCAATTAAACTGTCAGCAGGTTTCTCATCCCCCACCCCATGACTCCGTTCCTGCACCTGTCAAAAATGACCTACCAAGCACTCAATAAACCCTTCTGTAACAAACTATTTAATTCCCCTACTTTAACCCTTTGTGTCACTATACCCCACTCCCTCTAGCATGTAAGCTCATCGAGCAGGGTCCTCAACCCCCTCTGTTCCTGTACGTCAGTGGTCTGATCTCAATTATGTGTCTGTTAGTCCACCCATTGTACAGCGCTATGGAATTTGTTGGCGCTATATAAATAATAAAATAATAATAATAATAATAATAACTACCACACAGGCACAGCAAAGGTAAATAGGTCAATAGAGGCCTGTCTCTCTCACTCACTGCAGTCAAAGTGTCTGCAAATATTCTGCTTTGAAGTATAGATTGCTTTACTGCTAATCCTTTGTTCTACTCTATTGGTTAGTTGACATTTGATCTGTGGATAAAATCAACATTTACTGACTGTCCCCAATCAATCAATCAATCACTTTTTTGTTTACCCCCTCATTACTGGGCAGGGGATACAGCTCACATGATCAGACAGACATCTTGTCTATCAGTGCAAACTATTGCTTATTTGAACTATTATAACCATAATTCAGAATCACCATGTTCATGCATTATATGAATCATTTGTTGGAGCAAACTTTTAACTTCAAAGATTGTACGAACTTTTCTTTCCTGCATGATGAAATACATTAACTCTAAACTCCAGCACTACAGGGACGTTCCACTAAACTCCCTCGGCATAAACAGCGTAAAATATAAAAGAGGATCACAGACGGTCTTAGCATTATTTCAAACATCTATATGGCTTTGATGGAGCCCTGGTATGAAGTTGAGTCTTATTTCGGATGAGTTGCACTTTAAAAAAACAAAAAAGAATCAGAGGATTTGTTTTCTCCTCTTTTCCTGCATGCTGTAACCAGATTTCTAAGCAATCTTTTGTTAAGTAATTGTGCTAATTTATTTTAAAAAAGTGATTTATGAGGATGCATGTGCTAAGATTTCTCTATTTTTTTTTTTAAGAATATCCAACAAAAAATAATGAAATGTTGAGTTAAACAAGATATTATGCTCTGTGTAATAAATGGTTTATTAAATGATAGAGGGCACTGACCTGGCTATATGTTTGGAAATAGTGGTATATAATTCGATATGCTGAAAGACTGTTTTAATACAATCTAATTTCATGTTTTGTTTAGCATTGTAATTGCAGTCTCTCAGGGGGTTTGTTCTATTTACTAAACGCATTTTAGAATTCTGCAATCTGTTTTACAAAACGCAGCTAAAATTTGCTGAACCTGAGAGATTCTCCAATTCATTTAAAGTCACAGAATGAGTATTTTAGCCTCAGTTTTGTATCTCAGATTTAAATCCTTGGGAATGTGGTGTTTAGTTAATAAAGTGTGAATTGCTGACAATTCAAAGTGAAATTAAAGTGAACTTAAAATTAAATGCAAACACGAGTAAATTAAAAAACAAAATTCTGCAAGCCATCTATGTTTCTAGTTCAGTTTTTTCTGAGCTGCAATTTTAAGTTCATTACATTATTTCAATTATAATTTTCATAGAGCAGATTTATAATTTATAATTTGCAGGCCCCCCCAACAACAACCCTCAGCACACCAAGCTCACTCGATACCTCCAAAAATGCTCCAGAACTGCTGAACGCTGTTGGAGAAAGTCTCACTGTTCATCTGACTTTCTCCACTATAAATTTATGCTGAGCTCATACAGCTTGGCTCTTTCCTCTACAAAAGTTAATTACTTCAATACTCTCATAACCACACTCTCCTGCGAACCCAAATGACTATTTCACACATTTAACTCTCTTCTTCGCCCTGCTGTTCCTCCTCCACCTACTAACTTGACCGCCTCAGACTTTGCAACTCACTTCACGGACAAGATCTCTACAATCAGAGAAGAGATCTCTCATCTTTCTTCTTCCCCTTACAATACTTCCCCTAACTTCACTCCCTCTGCTGTTCTATGTTCATTCGCACCCACTACATTAGAAGAGGTTTCTGCTCTGCTCCAGTCCTCCCGCCCCACCACCTGCTCCCTCGATCCAATTCACTTGCATCTCATCCGTACTCTGTCTTCTTCTCTTTCTCCACCTCTCACTAAAATTCTCAATCTCTCTCACTCCTCTGGTATATTTCCATCACCCTTCAAACATGCAACTGTAACCCCAATTCTAAACAAGCCCAATCTTGGCCCTAACTCCCCATCCAACTATCGTCCTATCTCGCTACTGCCTTTTGCATCCAAGATCCTTGAAAGAATTGTGTATGCGAGATTGACAGACTTCCTCGAATCCAACTCTCTGCTAGACCCCCTTCAGTCTGGTTTCCGCGCTAAGCACTCTTTGGAAACGGCACTGAACAAAGTATCCAATGATCTACTCGCTGCAAAATCTCGTGGTCACTACTCTATCCTAATTCTCCTTGACCTGTCTGCGGCTTTTGACACTGTTGATTATCAACAGCTTCTTCTCATCCTCCGCAATATCGGTCTACAAGATATTGCTCTCTCCTGGTGCTCCTCCTACCTCTCCCAGTGCTCTTTCAGTGTTTCTTTCTCTGGCTTTGCCTCTTCTCCCCAACTCCTCTCTGTTGGTGTTCCCAAGGTTCAGTCCTTGGTCCCCTACTGTTCTCCATCTATACTGCCTCCCTTGGTAAACTCATTAGCTCCTTTGGCTTCCAATATCATTTCTATGCAGATGACACGCAAATCTACCTGTCCTCTCCTGATCTCTCCCCATCCCTCTTGACTAGTGTCTCTGACTGGCTCTCTGCTGTTTCTAACTGGATGGCTGCCCACTTCCTTAAACTAAACTTGACCAAAACTGAAATTCTGGTCTTTCCCTCAAGTGTTGTTACTCCTGTGTCTGTCTACCTCCAAGTCAACGGTGCTACCATCAGCTCCACCACACAGGCTCGCTGCCTAGGTGTTCTCTTTGACTCCGACCTCTCCTTCAAGCCTCATGTTAAATCTATCACCAAATCCTGTCATTTCCATCTCAAAAACATTGCGCGCATTCGACCCTACTTAACGCCAGATGCGACTAAGGTGTTGGTCCATTCCACTGTCCTTTCTTGCCTTGACTACTGTAATCCGCTTCTCAGTGGTCTTACCTGCTCCCAACTTGCGCTGTTACAGTCCATAATGAATGTGGCGGCGAGGCTCATCTTCCTGTCCGCCGGCCACCTCCCATGCCTCACCCTTCTGTCAGTCCCTACATTGGCTTCCTATAAAATATAGAGCTCAATTTAAAATTCTGGTTCTTGCTTTCAAATCTCTACATAATGCTGCTCCCACCTATCTATCCTCCCATATACACAAGTATGTCCCGTCTAGGCCCTTACGATCTGCTAAAGACTTACTTCTATCTTCTGTCCGTACTCCCACCTCTGATGCTCGCCTTCAAGATTTCTCGAGGGTTGCACCGTTCCTGTGGAACTCGCTTCCCTCCTCCGTTAGATGCTCACCCAGTCTCCACTCCTTCAAAAAAATCGTTAAAAACCCACTGCTTCATAAAAATGTTTCAATTAAACTGTTAATAGCTCCCAACTGATTCCTCTTCTGCAACTGTCACTAGTCTAATACTATCCTTACCTTTTTGTGCCATTTTACCCCACTCCCTCTATCATGCAAGCTCATTGAGCAGGGCCCTCAACCCCTCTGTTCCTGTGTGTCCAACTTGTCTGGTTACAACTACATGTCTGTTCGTCCACCCATTGTAAAGCGCTGCAGAATTTGACGGTGCTCTATAAATATCATAATAATAATAATAATAATAATAATAATTAATAAAGTGTTTTTGAAGGTTTGGCTGCCCTGTCTATTCGATTTTGGGTCCACCTGTCATCTTTGCAGCATATTGGAGGTGGAAAAAAACGCTTGTAGTCTGAGCATGCTTACCTGCTTGTGGCTTGTGAGTCGCATTCCATCTGCCCTTATAAATTATTGTATCTAACAATACTACTCTATATGTGTTTTAGTTTTTTTTTATGTGCACACGCATTTTGATTGTGTTACTACTAAATGTCCTGTATATGTGAGTAAAGTGTAATCCACTTTACACTAAATTTAAACTTTATAGAGGTTGCACTTTTTTTAATACATTTTATACTATAATAATGATCCCATTTGCACAGCATGAACGTCACTTTATATTTAATACATCACAATTCATTAAAGTGAATATTAATAGAGTGAGTCATTATTCAAGATTTACAAATATAGATCACCTTTTTTGGTTGATTTTATTTTATGGTGTTTTTCTGAGCTATTACACTTGTAAGGTGCAGCTCCCAGTAGCGAATAATTATTTTAATTAAATTGTTTTAGCACCATCTTCTTTTTACTTGTTTTTTGGTAATACAATTCAGAATTACCGTCAACTGACTTTCAAGGCAATAATGCCGATTGTTTTTTCACAGTTTAATTCACTAAACTTCAAATGATGGTAAATTGAAAACCGAATGACAACATTTAGCCGAAAACAGTGAAATTGCAAAAATTGCTGGGTTGGGAAATATTTCCAAAACATTTCAGAATAAAATCTGCAATTTTATTTTCAACTCACTACAATTTCACACTTTAGTGAATAACCCCGTGTGTCAAAATTAAAATCTAAATTGCAAAAATAAAGACTTAAAATGCTTTTTCCCTTTCTAAATTCTGGTTAATGCCACAATCCATTAAACTGTGCAGATACTAAAATATTACCATGATTTATACATGGTATGTTTTGTAGCAGAGTGATATGTTCTTTACTAAAAATGTAAATTGCAAACAAATATTCTGTCTTAATGTCATGTATTGTTTATTAAATTCTATTTGATCTTTATTTATATGATATGACATTGATTAATCAGTTATAACTGTGTTCACACTAGCATCCTGCATCCAGTATAGCCCCATATGAGTTCCCGCTCTGTCTATAATTCTGTTTGTCCAAAACAAGGAACAGGTGTAAATGTATTAGGTTTCAAATCAGCACAAACTATCTGTTCTCTAATTACATTGCCTCGTTCAAATGACATTTTAGGTAAATTCTGAAATTCCAGAATGAACAGATAACATTCTTTAATGATATGACCAATGCTCCTTAGAAATATGACAAAAAATGTGACATCAGTCTAATAGTAATTAAGTAATATTAATCAATCCTTTATTTGAGTCCTGATTTCTATCCAGTTTGGATATTAGAATTTAGAATTAGAATTTTCTTTCCTCTTGACTTTTAACATATTGCAACTTATTTTCTAAAAACCCTCTTTTTCATAACAGTTTTTTAAAATTGTTTTACAAATAAATCTATTAAATAAGCATTGTTTTTTAAATTGTGTTGTCTAAGGAATTAATCTGCTTAACACTATAATGATGGCTATAATTATATTTTAGATACATTTAAGGAGTTCCACTGAAACTCCCCACAACACCAAAGTGTTATCAATCACTGAGCATCCTTTGGCAGATGTTTTCAGAGATTGTGAAATGGATCATGATCTTTGGAAGGATTGTCTATTGGTGGCCAGAGCTGCATTTGAAACACCACTGTCGTTGTTGTTGGAGATGGGGAAAGAGTCCTGAGTCTTATCTATAAACCAGCAAAAACTGTACATCGTTATGTAGGGATTTACTACGAGGTGTGGAGCCGGTGAGGAGATCCAGAGATGAGCCGAGGGAAGAGGATGTTGCAACAATGAAGATAGGAGCCGCACTGAATCCCAGCAGCCACCCGGTGCTCCGGAGCACAACCAGCAATCCCGCAACAATAAGGTACTCAAGGTGTTCAAGCTGCAGGCAGTTTTAATAGAACAGAAAACAGCAGCAATGTTTTGACCTGCTAAGAGGTCTTTGTCCAGCCCAGGAGGACTGGGAAAGGTAAGATAAGAATCTCTAAAGACCAGTGCCATCTAGACAAGGTTATGGAGAAAATAAGTTGGCGGTCCACCGTGGGAAAAACATCAGAAATTAGAAAAACTATTAGCAGAGAGTCTTAAACTTTGGATTTAGTTACACTTAACTTAAAAAAAATGATTACCTTTAATTAATCTTGAACTGTTGCCATACCTTTTTTATTCTGTACATGAAAATAATATACACATGTTTTTATATTTTTTTAGATTGTAAAGTGTCACATCTACATAGAGTTGGATGGACTATGACTGTAAGGAATGAATCGAGAGTCACAGAAATCATACTTCTAGGCTTTGGAAATCTTTATGGCTTCAACATTTTAATTTTCATCATATTCCTTAACATTTTCCTAATCACAGTAACTGGAAATCTTCTGATCATTGTGTTAGTTTCAATTAGTCATCACCTTCATTCTCCCATGTACTTCTTTCTTTGCCATCTATCACTGTCTGATATTGTTCTCACAACAAATACTTTACCTAGCCTGATGGGTGCAATCTTACACGGTGGGAAAGTTATGACAATTCTTGGTTGTATAACTCAATTCTATTTCTTTAGTGGTATTACTGTTACAGAATGTTTCCTGCTTGCAGTGATGTCCTTTGATCGATACCTGGCTATATGTGTCCCATTGCGTTACATGTCTATCATGGACTTTACATTGCGTACCTGTCTGTCTGCCTTGCCCTGGATGTTAGGATTTACCATGAACCTAATTGGATTCATACCTGTATCCAACTTTCAGTTCTGTGATGGAAACATCATTGACCACATATATTGTGACCTTTCCCCTCTCCAAAAACTTTCATGTTCTGACACGTCTCTGGTGGAATTTATAGCCATTGTAAGTTCTACTCCTTTATTTATCTGTCCTTGTGGATTTATCATAGTGACTTATGTTCATATCTTCCTTATGATACTTAGGATCCCTTCTACAACTGGAAGACAGAAAGCCTTTTCAACCTGCAGTTCCCACCTTCTTGTGGTTGGTGCATTCTATGGGACATTAATAATAAAGTATATGATACCGTCCATAGGAGATTTATTGCTTTTAAATAAGATTATGTCATTGCTGCATACTGTGTTTACCCCCCTGTTTAACCCTTTAGTATACAGTCTAAGAAACCAAGACATCAGGATAGCACTAAGAAAGATTTCTAAACATTAGAGACACTTTTTATACATACACATTATAATCTCAGAAAATGTCTCTAAATTATTCTCTGACAACCTTCACTGCTTTGCTCTGATTTACTGAAATAAATGAAGGAATCAACAAATTGAATGTGTCTGCTTTCAATAAAATGACATTAAAAATACATTTCTATATTTTTATATAATCTTAAAGGGACACTATAGTCACCTGAACAACTTTAGCTTAATGAAGTTGTTTTGGTGTATAGAACATGCCCCTGCAACCTCACTGCTCAATTCTCTGCCATTTAGGAGTTAAATCCCTTTGTTTCTGAATCCTAGTCCTAGACAGTTATTGGGTCAGTCAGTGTTTGAATATATGACAGTTATTGAGTCAGTCAGTGTTTGAATATATGACAGTTATTGGGTCAGTCGGTGTTTGAATATATGACAGTTATTGGGCCAGTCAGTGTTTGAATATATGACAGTTATTGGGTCAGTCAGTGTTTGAATATATGACAGTTATTGGGTCAGTCGGTGTTTGAATACATGACAGTTATTGGGTCAGTCAGTGTTTGAATATATGACAGTTATTGGGTCAGTCAGTGTTTGAATATATGACAGTTATTGGGTCAGTCAGTGTTTGAATATGACAGTTATTGGGTCAGTCAGTGTTTGAATATATGACAGTTATTGGGTCAGTCAGTGTTTGAATATGACAGTTATTGCGTCAGTCAATGTTTGATTATATGACAGTTATTGGGTCAGTCAGTGTTTGAATATATGACAGTTATTGAGTCAGTCAGTGTTTGAATATATGACAGTTATTGGGTCAGTCAGTGTTTGAATATATGACAGTTATTGGGTCAGTCAGTGTTTGAATACATGACAGTTATTGGGTCAGTCAGTGTTTGAATATATGACAGTTATTGGGTCAGTCAGTGTTTGAATATATGACAGTTATTGGGTCAGTCAGTGTTTGAATATGACAGTTATTGCGTCAGTCAATGTTTGATTATATGACAGTTATTGGGTCAGTCAGTGTTTGAATATATGACAGTTATTAGGTCAGTCAGTGTTTAACTCCTTAAGACCAGAGGGCGTACTATTACGCCCTATTTTAGGCGGCTCTAAACGCAGCCGGGCGTAATAGTACGCCCTCCGGTCTTTCTGTACTTACCCGGTCGCCGGTGATCCCACTCCGGCGATCGCTGTTGGGGGGACTCCCAGGGAGCCCCCCGCGGCACGTCTGTCCCCCTGGCAGCCCCCCCGGCCATGTGAGAGTGAGGTCCTTGCGAGGACCTCACAATCACATGGCTGGGTAGGCTGCCTCCTGCATTGCCAGCAGGGGGGCTGCCTGTAATGACAGGTGGTCCCCCTGCTGGCTGGAAATAAAAATAAAAAAAAGTTAAATAAGTGTAAAAAAATAATATACAGGGAGTGCAGAATTATTAGGCAAATGAGTATTTTGACCACATCATCCTCTTTATGCATGTTGTCTTACTCCAAGCTGTATAGGCTCGAAAGCCTACTACCAATTAAGCATATTAGGTGATGTGCATCTCTGTAATGAGAAGGGGTGTGGTCTAATGACATCAACACCCTATATCAGGTGTGCATAATTATTAGGCAACTTCCTTTCCTTTGGCAAAATGGGTCAAAAGAAGGACTTGACAGGCTCAGAAAAGTCAAAAATAGTGAGATATCTTGCAGAGGGATGCAGCACTCTTAAAATTGCAAAGCTTCTGAAGCGTGATCATCGAACAATCAAGCGTTTCATTCAAAATAGTCAACAGGGTCGCAAGAAGCGTGTGGAAAAACCAAGGCGCAAAATAACTGCCCATGAACTGAGAAAAGTCAAGCGTGCAGCTGCCACGATGCCACTTGCCACCAGTTTGGCCATATTTCAGAGCTGCAACATCACTGGAGTGCCCAAAAGCACAAGGTGTGCAATACTCAGAGACATGGCCAAGGTAAGAAAGGCTGAAAGACGACCACCACTGAACAAGACACACAAGCTGAAACGTCAAGACTGGGCCAAGAAATATCTCAAGACTGATTTTTCTAAGGTTTTATGGACTGATGAAATGAGAGTGAGTCTTGATGGGCCAGATGGATGGGCCCGTGGCTGGATTGGTAAAGGGCAGAGAGCTCCAGTCCGACTCAGACGCCAGCAAGGTGGAGGTGGAGTACTGGTTTGGGCTGGTATCATCAAAGATGAGCTTGTGGGGCCTTTTCGGGTTGAGGATGGAGTCAAGCTCAACTCCCAGTCCTACTGCCAGTTCCTGGAAGACACCTTCTTCAAGCAGTGGTACAGGAAGAAGTCTGCATCCTTCAAGAAAAACATGATTTTCATGCAGGACAATGCTCCATCACACGCGTCCAAGTACTCCACAGCGTGGCTGGCAAGAAAGGGTATAAAAGAAGAAAATCTAATGACATGGCCTCCTTGTTCACCTGATCTGAACCCCATTGAGAACCTGTGGTCCATCATCAAATGTGAGATTTACAAGGAGGGAAAACAGTACACCTCTCTGAACAGTGTCTGGGAGGCTGTGGTTGCTGCTGCACGCAATGTTGATGGTGAACAGATCAAAACACTGACAGAATCCATGGATGGCAGGCTTTTGAGTGTCCTTGCAAAGAAAGGTGGCTATATTGGTCACTGATTTGTTTTTGTTTTGTTTTTGAATGTCAGAAATGTATATTTGTGAATGTTGAGATGTTATATTGGTTTCACTGGTAATAATAAATAATTGAAATGGGTATATATTTGTTTTTTGTTAAGTTGCCTAATAATTATGCACAGTAATAGTCACCTGCACACACAGATATCCCCTAACATAGCTATAACTAAAAACAAACTAAAAACTACTTCCAAAAAATATTCAGCTTTGATATTAATGAGTTTTTTGGGTTCATTGAGAACATGGTTGTTGTTCAATAATAAAATTAATCCTCAAAAATACAACTTGCCTAATAATTCTGCACTCCCTGTATACTTAGATTATATATATATGATCTAAGTATATATATACACATATACACTGTCTAGGTGTATTTTACTATTAATACACTGTCTAGGTGTATTTTACTATTAATATACATATAATTATATATATATATATATATATATATATATATTAATATCAAATTACACTTAGACTGATACTGATTAAATATATATATAATTATTGTTATATATATATATATATATTTATATATAATATAAAAAAATATGTAAATACGTTAAAAAATAAAATAAAAAAATAATAAAAAAATAATTAAAAAATATATAGATGTATTTTATTTCATTCTAACTGTATTGTGATATTAATATATATATATATATATATATATTTATATCAAAATACACGTAGAACGAAATAATATATATATCTATATACATAAATATATATGTATATATCACTATATATATACCTATATATAAATAAAAATATTTTACAAAAATTATATATATATATTCACATACGTATATATATATATATATATATATATATATATATATATATACATAGATTAATTCTACATATATATTTATGTAATATTTTTACATAATTGGGTATCTTAATTAATTACAATTAGCAGGACCTGCCTGACAACCCATGCCGAAAGTAAAGGGAATTTAATTTGCTAGCACTATATTTAACCCTATAACTTTCCAAGACACCATAAAACCTGTACATGGGGGGTACTGTTCTACTCGGGGGACTTCGCTGAACACAAATATTAGTGTTTCAAAATAGTAAAATGTATTACAACGATGATATCGCCAGTAAAAGTGAAGTTTTTTGCATTTTTCATGCACAAACAGCACTTACATGGACGATATTATTGCTGCGATACTTTTTACTGTTTTGAAACCCAAATATTTGTGTTCAGCGAAGTCTCCCGAGTACAACAGTACCCCTCATGTACAGGTTTTAGGGTGTTTTCAAAAGTTACAGTGTCAAATATAAGGCTTGTGTTTCATTTTTTTCACATTAAAATTTGCCAGATTGGGTACGTTGCCTTTGAGACCCTATGGTAGCCCAAGAATGAAAATTACCCCTATGATGGCATACCATTTGCAATAGTAGACAACCCAAGGTATTGCAAACAGGGTATGTCCAGTCTTTTTTAGTAGCCACTTAGTCACAAACACTGGCCAAAATTGTTTTTTTTTTGCATTTTTCACACACAAACAAATAATAATGCTAACTTTGGCCAGTGTTTGTGACCAAATGGTTACTAAAAAAGACTGGACATACCCCATTTGCAATATCTTGGATTGTCTACTATCGCAAATGGTATGCCATTATGGGTGTAAATTTCATTCCTGGGCTACTATAAAGTCCTAAAGGCAACGTAACCAATCTGGCGAATTTCAATTTCAAATGTAACGTGCTGTATTTGACCCTGTAACTTCCCAAAACGCCATAAAACCTGTTCATAGGGGTTACTGTTTTACACGTGAGACTTTGCTGAATACAAATATGTGTATTTTATTGCAGTAAAAGCAAACAGTATTATGACATTGACCGTTAAAGTGTCATGTAAAACGCTGGGGGCGTGGCCTGACTAATGGCGCGGACGGTCGCATGTGAGTAACGCTCCGTCCATAACCGGCCTAAATCAGCGACTATCACAGCGATCCAGACCAGCAAACCCCCCCTCAAACACATCCCCACGATGGCCCAACATAAGGGGAAGAAGCCCTGCGAGAAAGGGGACAAACCCGGGTTCTTTGCGGCCCGCAACCAGACACCTAAAACCCTGACCCCCGTCGAGAAGGAGCAAGATGGCGACGATACAATCCCGCTGCAGGACTCCCCGGGTTCCAGAGACCAGCCAGTAACACAGGCAATTCTGCAAACATGCCTGGAGGAGATGGCTTCCAAATTGCTTAAAAACTTTAACAGCTCCATAGCTGATCTATGGAAGGATGTCCAGGAGCTAGGGGAGCGGACAGCCCGTATGGAACACCGCATGGGAGAATATGCGGAGGCCCACAATGACATGGCGGATCACGTCCAAAGAATTGAACACACGCTGGAATCCTGCCAAATGAAACTTATGGATCTCGAAGACAGGTCCAGAAGGCAGAATATACGCCTGCGAGG